TATAGAGAAGATTTTTAGATAAATTTTTGTATTGTTTTACACATATAATCAAAGCGTTGTTTCAAAAAGGAGCATTTTTCTTTTGTTGATTGAAGAACTTAAGCTAGTGCAATGATGTTTCAAGAACTGACATGACCCGCATTGGAATAATGACACCTTAGTAAAGTGGGGATGAATTTAAGAACTTAAGCTAGTACGATGCACCTTATTGTTCACGAATAATGAGATTCCCTTTATTTTGTAGTTCTCTAGTTGATTTATTGATTCTTCTACTTCCCAATCCAATATTAACAAGAACTGACAATCCAAAAGCAAAACACAAAGAAAAATACTTGTTTTGAATTACTTTTATCAGCACTTCATTGATGCCCTCCTGATCAAGTTTCTAGGGGGATCAGTAGACATGGGAGAACCACCTACTGCGCTGCCATCTGTAATGCGTAGACCTGTCTCGCTTGACTCCAACACACCCATAATGTCTCTGAGGCCCATGATGGCACCCACTGAATCACCACCACCTCGGTTCAGCTTTTCCATGAAATGAAGATTACCACAAAGATACATAACGCCTGCATTTGCAATCTCCTGCTTTTCTTCCAAGGAAAGAAGTCTTCCATCCAGGCCAGACAACATCATCTGTATTGCATCCACATCATTATCAATTTTAGACAGATCACCGCGTACATCGCTAACCTCTGCTCTAATATGTTTTGATATCTCAATTTGGTCATCCAGCTTCCCATCTACATTCTGAATTCTCTGGGTCAAATGCTTCTTTGTTGCTGCTAAGGCATCCGAAACATGCTGCAGATGTTTGGTTAAGTTGGAAACAGCATTTGCCATACTGCTCTTTGTTACATACATAAGGTCAGAGAATGAGATTCCCTTCAGCCACATGTAGCCATACCCTAGGACCCCTAAAGCAGCAGCTGGAGCCACAAGATTTGTCAGGTTACCACTAGAACCCCCATTGAGAACAGTTATTGGTCTTGACGAGGTCAATGATCGCACTTCCATAGCTAAACGACGAACCTGCGCGGCAAGAGCTGCTTCCGTTTCTGTACCTTCTCCAGAACTTTCATGATTTTTCACCAAATTCTGAAGTTCGGCCAAAACATCTAATAATTTTCCGTTCTTCACAAGCAAGGTGGTGGTGTATCCTGCTCCCAATAAGATGACTATCTTAGAGAATCCCATGCCAGCTTGCATCGCCATGGCCGGTGCGATAGACCTTGGAATTGAAGAGAGTAGTTTGTGTGGGCTGGAAAAGAGAAGCGTCGGCCGAGAAGCTCTCGCTGGAGAAGCCAAGCGCCGGCCTAAAGGGTTGCGTCGGCCAGAGATGATGATTGGAGAAGAAAAGCTGAGAAGCCCTAGGTCGGATCGTGGATCGGTGATTTGGGGAAATTGATGAAGCTGGTACTACCCACCAAATTAAATAGAGTATATATTGAGTAAAAACTCAATATATACTTGTCTCAGGGCTTGGGTGGATTTTTTTAGTCAAAAGTCTCAAAACTCAAAACCCATTATTGAAAAAATTGCTCAAGATGTACAATCTATATACTCCATAAAAAACATACTTTCTAAAAAATAAATAAAATAGTTAAGTGTGTGAGATGAATACCTCAAACTTGCATATGTAATTTAAATACTTAAACTTTGTATCAAAAATTATTTTAACACAATTATCAAATATTATTCAAAAATGTGACTCTAGCGTTAATTGCATAATTTAAAATATTTTAGAACTTATGAACACACAATTAACATTTTGAATTTCCATTGTGAAACAAATAATGTTCTCACAATTAACATTTTAAATTTCCATTTTAATTTGCTATTTTAAATTATGCAATTATAACCCCATAAATTTACATTTTTGAACGAAATAGTGCATGACAATGATGAAAAAATAACTTTTCATAGGAAGAACCCGTTTGGTACCCGTGTTTTTTGGCTTATCAGGTTTATCAAACAACTTTTTCATCAAACACGTAAATTTTGCTTTCACGCGCTAGATTGTGTAATAAGCAGAAAAAGTAAGGTTGAAGTTACTTTTCTGACTGTATTGGCTGAAATTACTATAGATGACCATTTTAGCTATTTTTACATATAATTTTTTCTTTATTTTATTAATAAAATATATTTTAAAAATAAAATTTTCTTATATCAGTAGAATCAGCCAATGCAGCCACTTCAGCCAGAACTTCATAAATATCAGCAGAATCAGCCAAAACAGCCGATTTTCGTGCTACCAAACGGGCTCGAAGTTTGGGGTATTTAAATTACATATGCAAGTTTTGAGTGTTTACTCCACACCCCATCAAAGTTTGGAGTATTTTTATTATTTTTCCCTACTACAAAATTAGTCATTCATTTAACTTATTTCTCATTTGAATTTGAAAATGACATTTTGTAAACATAATCTACATCTCATAAAAACATGTTCACAAAATTTCATAAAATATTATCTAGAAGTCCTCAAATTTCATCAACCAGACGTCAATGGAAGCACCTCAAATAACCAAGTTCGTACGGTGATTTCTGTCAGAAGTACCTGAGGTGGTCTTTTCTGTATATGTATAGGAGATTGTTCGAATAAAAAGGAGACTTAACGTGTAAAATAAGAAGTAATCTCAATCATCCAAACTGTCAAGCTTATGCACAATTTGAATAAACTTTATCAGATGCATTTTTCCAATATCTGGATGCGGTGACATTTTTCGTAAATATTGAAAACATGCATTAGGGAAGGTTTATTATGAATCAGATCGACTCTTTGGACATCTGAGATTAATTTTTACTTTACACATTAAGACCTATCCAAACTATATATATATATATATATATATATATATATATGTATATGTATATGTATATATATATATATATATATATATATATATATATATAGAGAGAGAGAGAGAGAGAGATGAGAACTCCTCTTGTCAGGCCGGCCTGACGGGAACCTCCGTCCGGCCGAGCCCGTTTGGGCACCTTCCCGGTGGAATTTTTTGATGAAATTTTTTGAGCATGTTTTTCATCAAGCCTAGTTTGTCCATACCAAATTTCAGCTCAAAATTCGATCGAGAAGACATTCAAATCTTTTTTTGAAGTTGACTGCGTTTTTGTATGTTTTGATGCAGTCAACTTCAAAAAATGATTTGAGTGCCTTCCCGATTGAATTTTTAGTTAAAATTTGGTATGGATAAATTAGACTTGATGAGGAACATGCTCAAAAAATTTCATCAAAAAATTCCACCGGGAAGGTCGCCAAAATGGCTCGGCCAGACGGCTCTCCCGGTCAGGCCGGCCTGACATGATGATCTCTCTCTCTCTCTCTCTCTCTCTCTATATATATATATATATATATATATAAGAGATCAAATACAAACCATGCTTAAAATACTAACCTACAAACTCAATAATATGCAACACTTTGAACTTTAATATGCAGTACAAATAATGTAAAGATGCACTCTATGAATTTCAATATGCAATACAAATAATATGCAGCACTTTGAACTTTAATATGCAGTACAAATAATATGCAGCACTTTGAACTGCAATATGCAGTACAAATAATGTAAAGATGCATAGTTTGTGACAGTTTGTAGGTTAGCATGGGAAGACTAGTTTGTATGTGATCCCACCTATATATATATGTATATATATATACATATATATTTGGTTTAATAAAATTAGGTAAATGCCTCCCAAAATTTACTCCACAATTTGTGGTTTGCCTTTTGCGATAAATAAAAATTGAGGTGATTGAAAATAATTTAAAAGGTATATATAACTGCATATATCTAACAACATTATATTTGTGAATGGAAGTTAGTACCCTTGATTTGTGTCAATACATCTTAACATAAAAACATATACATTATGCTTAGAAAATGATATCTAACTTTTGAAGTGACTTTAATAACCTTAATGCTATAAACTTCCGTTACTTGATTCATAAACACATTCAAGTACTTTTAATACTACGTACTATGATAAATTCATGACATTTAAATAAAGTAATGTGTGAACAATTTATATTATAAAAGTAATAATCAAATTTCGTATATTAATATGTACTTACTTTTTAAATTTTTTCAAGTTTGACATTTTTATAGTTAATTGCATCAATTTTTTTTTTGCAATAATAAAGCAAACACTACAAAAAATTTACGGGATTAACACGGATTTATCGATTTTTTCGTGTCAAATAGCTCATGCCTTGGTACGGATTTGGCATATCTATGTCAAAATCCTTGGCAATTTGGGAAACTCATACCAAAAATCTCTGTCAATCGAGTATTTTTTTGTAGTGAAATACTTCGTATGTATTTACATGATAATATAAAACTTTTTACTATGATGAATATTTCTCCTCAAATATATCTAAAAAATTCTTTGTACTGATCAAGTTGAACTTCACGTCTTGTCTATGCCTCTACACATATGTCACGGAAATTAAGGTGATCAACAATACTGTTTTTGGAGTTTTAATGAGTTAAGTTTTTTTTACTTTGTAATTCATCAAAATACTACTGACTATTATCCACATAAATAAAGGTGGTTGAAAAATATTATTTAACATTGGGCATGTTTTGCCAAAAAACATTGGGCATGAGTTATCGCGCCTTGCGCGATCAATCGCTAGTGTGTGTGTGTATATATATATATATATATATATATATATATATATATATATATAGGGAAAACTGTCAAATAGGTCCTCGAACTTTCATAAAAAAAGCCAATTAAGTCCTTCTATAGGAAACTCTGTCCAGTCGTCGCGATTTGGGGCGATTCCCGGTAGAATTTTTTGATGAAATTTTTTGAGCATCTTATTCATCAATTCTAGTTTACTCATACCAAATTTCAGCTAAAAATTTAATCGGGAGCGCATTCAAATTAATTCGATAACGCAAAAATGCGCAGTTATCTTCAAGAATTAATTTGAATGTTTTCCCGATTGAATTTTTAGCTGAAATTTGGTATGAGTAAACTAGACTTGGTGAATAAGATGCTCAAAAAATTTTATCAAAAAATTCCACCGGGAACTGCCCCAAATCGCGACGGCCGGACATAATCTCCTATAGAAGGACTTAATCGACCTTTTTATGAAAGTACGAGGACCTATTTGACAGTTTTCCTATATATATGTGTGTGTGTGTGTGTGTGTGTGTGTGTGAGTGAGTTCATTTAAAATGTATTCTTTCCATGAAAATGGACAATAAACAATTTTGGCCTTTAATCACTTGAAATTGATGGATAGATGAAATTTTATCATAAGACACGTTGTCAAAAAATGTACAAGCATTCATAGTATAAAGTGGATAAATAATGAATAAAAGTGCATTCATGAGTTTTAGAAAAGTTTGCAAATTTGTTTTATAACTTGTGCACATTTTATTATGTATTGTAATGCACTTTTTGCATGTTCTCTTACACATTTGTTATAATATTTTGATTGCATGTAACCTCCTCCATTCATTTTCTCAAGATTAGGTCTTACTTTGCATTTAGAAATCACTTTTTGTTTTAACCAAACTCTCTTTCTATACATAATATCATAGACACAAACACCACCTCTCTAGCTAGGAAAGATTTTCCAGTATTCAAGGAAATTGTCAACACTTTCCCTGACCAAAGTCACAATCAAACATTGAATAGCCAACCATTAACACAACATTAAGAGGTCGTTTGGTAAAATCGTTTTTCAGCTTATCATGCTTATAAGCCAACTTTTTTATCAAATAAGTAATTTTTTTGCTTTCGTGCGCCGAATTGTGTAATAAGCAAAAAAGTAAGGTTGAAGCTACTTTTGTGGCTGTATTGGCTGAAGTTACTTTAGATGACCATTTTAGCTATTTTACATATAATTTTTTCTTTATTTATTAATAAAATATTTTAAAAATAATTTTTTTCTTAAATCAGCAGAATCAGCCAATGCAGCCACTTAAACCAGAACTTCATAAATTTCAGCAGAATCAGCCCAATCAACTAGGGGTGGACTCGGGCCGGGCGGCCCGACCTGGAACCGGCCCGGCCCGATCACTGTTTGAACCAGACCGAACTGGTGGCCCGGCCCAGGGGCGGTTCGGGTCGACCCGGCCCGGTGGGGTTCGGTTCCGGGCTCGGGCCCTCCATTTGGTGGACCGGCCCGGACCGAATTTGTTTTTTTTTTTGATTTTTTTTTTAAGTTTTTGGGTTGGGCTGGGTATTTTGGGTCATTTGAGGTGGTTTGGGGTGGTTTGGGGGTGAGGGGGGTGGGTTGGGGGTTAAATAGGAGAAGCCAAAAAAAAAAAAAAAAAACGGGTGGCCCGGCCCGGCTAGGCCCAGACCCGGAACCGGTGGCTACCGGTTCGGGCTCGGGCCCAACAAAACAGAACCGAGGCCCGGCCGGGCCCAGGCCCGAACCGGGCCCGAATCGGCCCGAGTCCACCCCTACAATCAGCCGATTTTCGTGCTACCAAACAGGCTCTAAGAGTGATTTTTCAATGTCAGAGGTGACTTTTTCGTTTTCTTGTCACACTTATTTTGAGAGCGCTTTTCTTCCTTTAAAAAACACAAGTATTGCTTGAAAACAAATGACACCAAACGCTGCCACACTCCATTCTGGATGACAAACATGGCCGTGAAGCATTTGGCAGCTAGATAACTAAGATAAGTACATAGTTGGTAAGAAAGTTCAGAGAATCAGAGATAATTAAATGAATATTTTCATGCATTCTCCAACAGAGAAACTTTGGATAACACCAAACGCTGCCTCTCCGTTCTGGATGACAAACATGGCCGTGAAGCATTTGGCAGCTAAACCCTAAACCCTAAACCCTAAACCCTAAACCCTAAACCCTAAACCCTAAACCCTAAACCCTAAACCCTAAACCCTAAACCCTAAACCCTAAACCCTAAACCCTAAACCCTAAACCCTAAACCCTAAACCCTAAACCCTAAACCCTAAACCCTAAACCCTAAACCCTAAACCCTAAACCCTAAACCCTAAACCCTAAACCATAGTTGGTAAGAACGTTCAGACCTAAATGATACTTTCATGCATTCTCCAACAAACAAACTAGAGAGTAAGAAGGAAACAAATAATAACTAATGTACACGCACAACAGACAAACTTGGGAGTAGAAAGACGCTCAGTTCAATTCAGCGAGCCGCCAGCTGCTTCAACTTTACTTTTCCAACCCCACCAACCAACTAGCAACCAGCATAGGCAGACACACACGCACAGACATCATATGGAGGTGGCAGCTCTCCAGGCCTTTAATGAGGACGACAATGACGACTTCCAATATCTGTTAATGAGCCATAAGGAGTCACCTTCAACAGCAAGCCCATCTTGATTCCTATGCCATCCAAAACGGGCATGTGTTCTGTTCTTGATATCCAACATCCCGTGACCAAAGCTAGCTTCCCTATATGCCGAGTAACTCGGCTGTGGCTGTCTCATCCTGTACCAACATTTTACTCATTCATTCAAAACTATGAGAGCTCTCACATCAAATTTAATTTAAACTTTAGACCTGTGTGTGTGATAGTGTGTGCGTGTGTCAAATAACCAATACATACTCAATGGCTAATCCTTCTGAATTTCCACCATCTCCTATGGTTATATATACAGGGGCAGATCCATCTTTTGCAGGGCTGCACTGTCCATTCTCTATGTCATAGGCAATATTTGATACGCGGATCTACGAAAGGAAAACTTACAAGTAAAACGATGTTTGATCAAAATTATCACATGTTTTTTATTTGGGTATTTATACTAGCCATGCATTTTTTCCCCTGTTTTTACCTAGAACCCCCCCTCCCCCCATACAGAAAAGTACGTTAAATTGGGAAAAAAAATAGAACAGATAACCTGACATACGAAAGCGTCGATAAACATTCAAACTTATTTTGTGGAGCCTTCTAAGATCCTGTTTGGTGAGCTCAAAACAGTTTAAATGAGTTAAGTGGCTGAAACTGGGAATGAAACAATAACTAAAACATGAGGAGGGAGAAGGGTCGTTCATTTTTATTTAGCCATTTCAACAGTAACGACAAAACTTAAACACTGTTTTTCTTACAATAAAATGGGGGAGAAACAAACAATTTAATGTCTGGTAAACAAACACTGTTTGGCTTGCTTGATTATTAAAAAGTTCGTTTAGATATGGGTCTTAAACATTAGAAAGTCCAATATGGAGCTTAGGTGTGAAAAACATTGGAGATTTATAATGAAAACAGGTCAGATAGAAAAAGAAAAGTAAAAGAACATTAGAGGAAAACAGAAAAGGCAGAAATAAAATAAAAACATGACAATTGAGGAAGCAGGGAGGGAATGGGGGAATAAAGGCCATGGGAAGAAGAAGAAGAAGAAGAAGAAGAAGAAGAAAAGAAAAAGAAAAGGAAAAACGGAAGTACATAATAAATAAAAGTAAAGAAAAAAGGAAAAGAAAACATATGCCAAATCAGCATATGACCTTCTATAAAGGGTTGTTCTCCTGTAGCTTGGTCCAAATTGATTGTTTTGTAACAGTTTTAATACATAGTATATGGCTTGTTTTAGAAGAGACGCTTAAGTGATGGATTTGGAATAGTTGGAAGGTCTATTTAACCCTTTTTCCGTATTTTTTTTTAAACTTAAATGATCAATTCGCAAGCTAAGAAAAGTTATACTCACAGATCGTTCATAAGAGTGAACGTGACCCGCGAAAACAACGTCGACTTTGTACTGCACGAACAAGGGTTCATATAGCACTCGCATAGATTCCCCTTCCATGTAGTGATGCATGTTACTACTATACATTGGACAATGCATGAGAACAATCAGCCACGCTGTCTCCCTCCTATCCACTTTCGCTAGTTCACTTTCCAACCATTTCCACTGTGGTGTATATGTACCTACCCCACCCCCCAAAAACAGAAATTAAAGATCATGAATAACTTAGAAATTTAGATGGGGAAGGCAGTCTAACTCAACGTTTTATAAACTTATTTCTCTCTCTTTCTCTCTTAGCTCTTTTAATCTGGGATAAACTGTTGGTGTCAATGCCAGTAAATAAACTATTTTACCAAAAGCCGAGTAAGAAGACAAGACAATGATATGTGCTGAAGCCCTTCTTATAGAGTACCAAAGAGGGGAAGTGCTTCCTGATGCTTCAAATGGCACATAAAATCGATGCATGTATGGTTTAAATGGTACTGTTTCACCCTGAAATATAGAAACAAGAAGTTAATAGTCACCCATGATGATTCCAGGGTCTAGTTTGGGGTGGGCTGTAGTAGAAATACACTAATAATTTTATTACATAACATTTCATTATGTCTTACCAAACTACATTTAGTAAATCTCTTACTCATGCCCTAATTCAACAGTACAACCATTGATTCACGCTAAAGACAAACATGAGTTACTTTTGGTACACCGCATGCAAAATGTTGGGTCGTTCCATTAAGTTCAAAATCCATATCACAAACATGATAACGTCAAGAAATGGCGGAAAAGTTTTTTTTAAGATCGATTGAATCTATTGACTAGTATACCTATTTCAAGGATTCCTCAATATTTTAGTAGTTAAATAGCAGAAGGTGCAAAATGCATATTGATAATAGATGCAAGAAATAAAGATTCTAGTGATTACTGATTCATTTGAAAAGAAAAACAGTAATAAACTTAAAAGCAGTTATTGGTATGAAGATACACGTACAATATCAGGGACGAAATCAATTTCATGATTTCCTGCAGTCCATATCCATGGTTGATAGGCAGCAACCCTCTCTATAAACCTTCCCCATGTATCCCACCTGTTGTTATCGTGATTTGGATACCTGTCCGCATAGGAGAGGTCTCCCACGAACAACAATGTTTGTCCTTTCACAGGGTTAAATTGGTAATGGGTCAATGTGGTGTTGGAATCATAAGTCTGGCCAAGATCCCCTGTTCCATAAACCACTTCATCAACATATAAACATTTATTCAAATATCCCTTTTATTTCATAGGCAGTTCAGTTCATCAAGGTCGATGTATAGGAGTAGGAGTAGGAATAGGAATAGGAATAAGAATAGGAGTAATAGCTATAGTAATAATAATAATAATTATTATTATTATTATTATTATTAATAAAATACTACTCCCTCCGTCCCAAAATAAATGTCTTGTTTGCTTTTGCACAAGTTTTAAGAAAGTGGTTGAAAAGGTAAAAGTTGTGGTTGAGATTTGAGTAGAAAAAGGTGAATTGATATGAGCCACACATTATTGCCAAAAGAGGAAACGAGACAATTATTTTGGGACGGCCCGAAAAGGAAAGTAGGAAAGATATTTCGGGACAGAGGGAGTACGTAATACTAATAACAATAACAATAATATACCAACAACAACAACAGTAGTAATAATAATAACAATAATATTAACAACAATAACATAATACCTATTAAACCAAATGTATAAGGAACATCAGGTCCAGGTTTAGGAGGAGTAACAAACCAAAACTGCCGAATCGTAGCATCATCCCCAGATCCACCCACCAGTTCATAATAGTATTTTGTATCATACTGCAGAAATATATAAAAAACAATTTGTCACACTTCTCACTAATCTTTGCCTTAAATACATATTTCCTGGTTCCATCAAATATAGGGACTTTTTTGTTATAGACCCTTTGGGAATTTCTGTTTTGTTATGTATTCCTGTAACTTACTTTTAATTTCCTTTTCTGTCTCTCTACGTCAACTCAGCTTTAAAAATGCCTGAAATGGAGTTAGTGGACCACAACACTCCATTTTATTTTCCAGCGTCATTTCTATATAAAAATGCTTATTATTTAATTCCCAAAGAGCCGGAAAGGCGTATGTTTCAAGTGGAGATAGACTGATAGAGTGTTTTGTTTAGTGCTAACTCCTCTTGTAGTTGACATGAAAAGGCTAGACATGATGAATAACATTTTCTTTTTGCAGATATGTAAAAAAAACTATATACTTACATTGAGTCCAGCACAAAAAACAACAAATTTACTCCCAGTCTTTTATTTTCTTTTGATTTATCCTATTGGTTAGCAGAAACTAAGCAATGCTTTTATATGGGAAAAATTGGTACAAACCTCTAGGTTTTTTATGGTGGAGTGATGAATATAGCCAGAGGTGTAATTACCAAACTTGTAGGCCACAACGATTCCTTCAGCACGGCTCTTGACATTACTATTCTCAGCAGCCCAGTAAACCACTGTGTTTGAACCAGGTTCATGAGGTGTAATCCAAGAGATAATCACTCCCTTCCCCTCATAATCCCCTTGTGTTATATGTACCTACATAACCCAAATCCTTTTCAATTCAAACAACACAAAACCACCCTTCTACGATATGTTTCAACTTTCAATATGATCTTAAATAGTGCATTAATAATGCCTTCCTCCCAAAAAACAAAAAATTATTACTTTTAAGTAAATTTATGATATTTATTTTGTTCATACTTTTGTCAAACTTTTAACAAAAGTTGGGGGCAATATTAGTTAAAACTTAAAAGTATCATTAGCTTTTATCAAACTAATGATAAAACAAACTTAGGACCCAACATCTATCCTAACAAATTTATGACCCGACAAAAAAATAAATTTGTTTCATAAAACCTGCATAACTCTTCAATATCTAACTTTTAACAAACTTAGATATGTATTTTGTTCATACTAACTTTTATCAAACTAAATTTAAGATGTTTACAACAAATCAACTCCTAAGGGAAACAAACCCTCTGCCGTAGTGCTACCTAATCTCAACATTCAGTCTGATTGTAAAAGATAAATGTTGGGTTATTAATTCTCATGGTGCTAGTGTGCTTC